AAGAAAAGAAAAGAAAAGAAAAGAAAAGAAAAGAAAAGAAATATGAAGAAAGGAAAAGGCAAGAAAAAATAAAGAGAGAGATGTCAATGTTGCTTCGGCATTTTGCCGCCAAATCCACAGGTAGCCAAACAAAATAGGAAAAAGGAAAAGTGCGATTTAATTGAATTTGGACGTTTATCGATTAACACCACGGATATTTTTTTCCAGGAGGGTTTTTCGCTTTTCGTTCCAGTTTTTGCCGATTCAAGCCTCCAGGCAATCGGTTCATAAACGAACAGTGTTTTTCAACATGGGAAGTTGGGTCTTAATTAAAAACTTCGTTGATATAACCAATCAGATTACTCGGGTTTCCTAGTGTCCAGGCTCAAACGATTATAAAACAATCAAAAGATTGTCTAAAGATTGCTAATAAAAAATATTGACCACGTGACATTCCCCTGAGAATTGTTCTTTTATGATGAGCATACGACAACAGTTATGCAATAAAGTTTCCAGCAGGGAAAACAGACCCTAGCCAAGACCCTAGTTCAATATGCCTTTTCCAAGTTCCAAATTACCGCTGTGTTTCTTGATTACAGACTCGTTTACTCAGGCTTAGCCTCGATTTTGTGAAGAATATTCACGTGTTCCAGTCAAGGTCCGTCAAGTTTCAAAGTGTTTCGAGGTTCAGCCTGAGTAAATGAGTCTATAATCAAGATACACAGCTGTAATTTGGAATTCGAAAGGGTCTATTTAAATCAACACCTTACTGACGTCAGTCTCATCAATAAACCACAATAATGGACGTAGGAGCCTTGGGGGAGAATGAGCTAGGGGACATTTACCCCTAGATATTTCTTTGAAATTGCAAAATAAACAGGCAGTAAAAAGCAATCTTTTATCAACCCCGCGTATTCGCATGATCGTTGGTGTGGCACGTATTTACTATTCTAGGACGTTACTTAAACGGGAATGGGAATGGGGAATGGGGAATGGGGAATGGGAATGGGAATGGGGAATATGAATCTAAATACTAAAACTAATACTTACTGATTATCTCTCTCCTTTTTATCGGACATTTTTAGTACGATTACGAACCACTGCCGTGGAATATTTGGCAAATTTTTCATTATAAAGAAAGCTAGATTGCAAGAGCCATGACACTTTTTAAGGATAATACCGCTGATCGCTCGTCCCAGTCTCCATTCCCGGCATTCCCCATTCCCTATTCCCTGTTTTAGTAAGATTCGCTATTTTAGGTGACGTCAACTAAATACTTATCTAATTTAGAAAAAAATATCGAACTATATCAGTTCAACAGTATGAATATTGTTGGATAGGACGAGCTGTAGAAATTTCACTACCATCTAGATAAAGCGCTGGTCTCATAATATAAAACGTCTCAGTGGAGAAAAAACTTGGAGCCGTTTTGTAGAAAACGGCGAAAATGTGATTTTTAGTAAAACTCTAATATTTGAGGTTTACAACGACAATTAATAAAAAAAATATTCGATGAGTTTTTAAAATTTGATGCTGATTTTTCGTAAGGCTCATCTGCAATACTTGGAAATAGATGTGTGAAAACTTCAAGGCAATCCATTCAATGGTAATGTATCTACAGCGCGATGTTTTATATGGTTCAGATTTTGGATCGAATTTTCGAGCTGCGTCATAATTTTTTTTCTGCCCAAGACTTATACACAGGCTGCAATAGTACTAGATGATAAGATTCTGGAAATTTCAGAAAAATCGTACGTGAGGATGAGGAGAAAAAAGCCAACAACTAAAAATAGCACTGTTTGATTTGGGGCCGTAATAGACTATACATTTAAAAAATCTTAAGATAAAATACACTGTTAGAATTTAGGATAAACAAAGCACTTTATATGAAAAAACTAGTTAAAGTGACGCCTTAGTTTTGCGAAGCAAGCGAGAATAAAATGCCAAAATTCGCTCTGAATTAGTTTTGTTCCACCTTAAGCAGATGCACCGAGAAAGCTACTAATTTCATCTGTGTAATAATACAAGCTTTCTTTAATAGAAATTAAGTTTTCGAATTACTTTTTTGCTTTGAGAAAAAAACAAGTCGAATATTGAGTTTGTTATTGATTAAACTCGAACCTCTCGACATCACTCTATGAGCATTCGAGTATGATTTTCCAACGCCAGGTTTAATGATCGATTGACACTAATAATTTACCAATACCTCTCTGTTTACTATTATTTTATTGTAAAAATCTATAAACACATCGAATTGCCTCAAGACAAATCGGTGTCTAGAATTTTGTCAATGCGATGAAAACAAAGTTGTAGATGAAAAATTAATTAACTAGGAAAATTAATGATTTTAAAGTTTTTGAAATAAGGAAATGAAAGCCGATCCGGAAAATCAGAGTTCATAAGTGAATTTACAGTTAATTAGGCATAGATTTTTTTTTAACCATAGATTTTTTTTGGTACCTGAATGTTTACATTGATCAAAGGTATTTTTAAAATATTGTTCAGAACTAAGGTACAAGTTATCTAAAATAACTAAAAAGTTAATCTAGTTAGACAGCTATAGT